GTCACTGGAGTGTGAGGATTTATCCAGCAGACCCACAGAGGATGAGCAGTTACTGTGCAGGGTAGCCCTGCAGGGTAGAAATTAACTTGTAAAAAACTGATAACAATGCATATATTTACTGTTCACAACAATGCAAATGAATTTAGTGCAGCAGAGACTATCATTTTCTGTAAAGCAAGAGAACATTTGAACTGTTTTTAGCATCTTACTGATTTCCTCATTAGTTAATGAGTTGAATAAAATGGATTTATTTATCAGTTTATTCGATGACATGAGTTTATTTTTTAAAACTTTCATGAGAGCCACAGTTTTAACTTAAAAAATTTATTCTTTAACATTTGATATGTTTACAGGTATTATTTCTTCTTTCTGGAATATCCTTTCTCACCTCATCTGCTTGGTTGCTTACCCATCTTTCTAGGCTGTGCTTGAAACAGCAGGACCCTGTAGGGCCATCCCTGCTGCAAATCCTTTCTGTGCCCCCCATTCCTTGATGTAGGAAATAAGTTTCTTTTAGCCTCCTTGACCTTCCTTGAGTTCCAAAGGGCAGATTCAAACAGTTGCTAATCAGGGAAGGGAGGGAATGCAGAGACAGGGGAGGAAGAGTCAAGAAATAATAGAGCAGTCTTGGGCCAGGGGCCTGGTTCCTCCTCAAGGAATATATAACAATATCTTTCAGTCCTTCTGCAGGAACTAGGGCCCCCACCCAGGTGGAGGATGGTAACTTCAAGCTGAGCACAAGATTCCTGGAACAGGCCCTATTACCTCTCTTCCTACCAATCAGAAGAAAGTCCCACACACTGCAGCCGTACCCCCAAATTTTCCCTATAAAAGCTTTTCCCGTAAAAGCAGCAGTAAATCTTCGTGTTTTGAGCAGGAGCTACCTGTCCAACTTGCTTGGCTCTGCAATACACCTTTCTCTGCTCCAAAATCTGATCTTTCAGTGTGTTTGACCTCACTGTGCATTAGATACATGAACTTTTGTTTGGTTACATTCTCAAATATCCTCTCCTGAGCTGTCCCCCCTCCAAGCACAGAGCAGCTCTCCCAGCCTTAAGATGATCAGGCCTTACTAGCACTCACTATTCCATTTTATTGTTAAATTATAAATATACCGAAGTATAATTGAAGGGTAAATTTGGCTAAAAGACTTCAGATCTGCTATCTCACTCTTCTCTTTGTTCCTGCTGTTCAAAGCAGGATGACTTACTAACCGCACATTTACACAATGTTTTCCTGTCCTTCCTCCTAATTGTGTTCTAATTTGAGCTCCCTGCTGGCTTTCAGGGAAGGGTCTCTTTGGGTCAGGGCAGGGAAGGGTAATTTGACTTGTTTATTTGGTGGATGTACTAGGGATTGAACCCAAGACCTCATGCATGCTAGGCATGCCCTTTACCACCAAACTAACTTTCCTTCTTGTAATTGAGTTGGAATTTCTCTGTAGAGCAAATTGCCTTACAGGTACTCATAAGATCATATGAGGGGGAACAAGAAAGCATGCCTCCTATATCTGGAATGGAAATTTAGGAACTTTGATGGTAGGTATGTTGCTGTAAGATCAACCTCTGAACCTAAGGAGCTGAATGACTGAGAGACAAAATCCTGGAGCTTAGAAGAAAAGAGACAGCTTTATTACTTTGCTGGGAAAAGGAGACTGACAGCAGGCTAGTGCCTAGAAAACTGTGAACACACCTTGGGGGTGGGGGGGGTGGGGTGAGGTGGTAAATCGCCATAGTTCAAACAATAAAGCATGGATCACAGTCAACAGAATCATTTTCTCATCAGAAGACTTAGGATGGCATCATGATACCTCTCACTGACCAATTCTATAGAGGCCAGCAGTTGTCACTTTTTTCCAACTCTTTATCACCTAAGCACTCAAGACGTGGTCTTCTTGGTATTTAGCCTACTTTATAAGGTTCCAGTTCTATGACCTTCTCCCTGAAGATCTACTCAGAGATTGAGAATAATTATAGGTTTTGATTACTGGAACCAAGTGGAAACAGTCAGATTAGTAGCTTTAGTGTTACCAATGGGCCTGGAGCTGTGAGCAGTCAGGTGTTTTGACCATTGGAAGGCAAATATAGGAATAAGCAATATGTTAGCCCAAATGTGTCCATTTTATTAATCCTCCTTCAGGTGTAAAACATTTTATGGCTGGTAAAACCAGATTTCTTCAATATTGGAGGGGAAGGATTTAAGGATTGTAACATGCAAAGTTCACAAAGCAAGATGGGATAGACATTTTCTCAGGATACAGGACAAAAGGGAAAGATGGTACAGCAAGCCACCTCTTCCTTTGCCCGTGGCATACCCACTCAGCATCAGCAGCATGGATGTGAATCAGAGTGCTGTGTTAGATCAGAAATAAACTTTGTGTAACAGGATTTATTGAGTCATCATAATTTTGGTGCATGTTGTGAAAATATCTATCTTCAAATAAGACTTTTGAATAATGTCTTTGTTCCAGATAATGCAGACTCCTAAGAAATGGGCTGTAACAGGTGGACAATGAAACCTGAAGTTTTGGAAACTAGAGTATCCCTACTTTAATATAAATTACTTTGGGACCACCAATTCTAGATGGTAAAATGAGTTTTGACTAGTTTTAATGATACCATTTGCAGTTAGGTGCATATGTGTGGTATTTATATTGTAGCCTCTAGACCAATGGACATAAACTTCTATTAGAATTTGATTAAAGCCATCGATTTGCTGTCCAAAAATGGAAACATACCAAAATGAATTCATACACTTTCAGTGGGTTCATGGACAGCTTGAATTCCCCAGGTTATAAGCAGCTGTTCTAGAGAACATGACTCCCTTGACTGCATGGAAACTGGCTTTTTCATCCTTCTATTGCTTATCATTATTGCATTTACCACATAGTAGACATTCTACAAATTCTGTTGAAAAGGTGAATACATAAATGAATGAATAAATGCATATGAGAAAAAAATTAATGACACAGAAGAGTGTCTGGTAAGTACCAAATGCATGTCATAAATGAGGTCAGAGGAAGTGATCACTGTGAACTGAGCCAAGGGCTTCTCAATGGCCATGAGACTGAACTGGAATGTAAACAGAGGGCAGATTGTCATCAAGTAGCATCAAGAAAGAAGTTTCTATGGGTGGAATGTGCATGGCCTATTTCTGGAACTGCTAAGATGATTCCTATTAAGAGAATAAGTAAAGTGAGTGACAGGAGATGAGCTTAGAGAGGTTGGCAGAAATCAGATTATGATGATTATGTGCTTGAAACTGAGGAGGACTTTTCAGGACCCTCCTGGGCACAAAAGCCTTTCTGTTTCTTCTTTGTAGGTCCTCCCTGAGCCCCAAAGGTCATATTCGAACAGTTACTAATTAGGGAAGTGAAAGAATACAGAAAGGAAGGAAATGCAGTCAAGAAACAGTAGTGCAAAGCAGATTCCTAGTTCCTCCTCAAGAGATATACATAGCAATGTAACTTTTAGTTCTTCTACAGGAACCAAGACCCCACCCAGGCGGAAGTTGGCAACTTCAAGCTGAGCGCAAGATTCCTGGAACACCACCCTGTTGCATCAGCACCAACCAACCAGAAGAAATTCACACATCCTACAACCCTCACCCCAAATTTTGCCTTTAAAAACTCTTTCCTGACAACAATCAGAGAGTACAGGTCTTTTGAGTATGAGTCAGGTCTTTCGTGCCTCTTCATACTCCTTGTTTGGCCCTGCAATAAAACTTTCTCTGCCCCAAATTCTAACGTTTCAGTTTGTTTGGCCTCACTGTGCATCAGGCACATGACCTTGGGTTCAACCACATGCTGGGCTAAAGAAAGGTAATATTTCCTGTAGGATTGGCACCGAGTATGCATGCAGATCCTGAAATTTGGATGGCATGGTCATTGAAGTGATGTTGGGATCACAAACATTGCAGATAGAGTTTATCCACTGGGGTTTTTTTGGGTTGCAAGCACCACAAACCCATTTGAGCTAACTTGAGGGGAGGAATTTTAAGTGGTAGAGTGATAGAGATTTATTGGAAGAATCGGAGAGAGTTTCACACTTGACAATATACAGCAAAAGGGTCAGCCTTTGGAAATAGCTGGAACCCAAGAATCTTAGGTGAGCTGTAAAACAGGGCCTAATGGGCAAGAATCCACTTCAACATCAAAAAATCTTTGCATCACTACTTGACATTCAGACTCTGAGGACAATGTAGGGGGAAGAAAAGAAATCTTTTCCTTTAGCCTTCGTTTTGTAACTAGGGACTCTTTAACAAAAGATAGGTTAACAGGAGAAAAATAAACTAAAATTTATTAGCATTAATTTTATATATATGAGAAACTCAGGGCAACTCAGAGTAACTCAAAGAGATGATTAGAACTTGGGCTTACATTCCATCTTCAGCTAAAACAAAGAAGAATGTGGGGGAGGCAAATTATGGTAATATGACTAGGAAAATGTATAGTAAACAAGGGTAGGACTTATATACAGATCTAAGTCTTTGCCTTCTCCATTGATAAGAGTTTCTTATGATTTAGAGTTATCTTTTTCTTCCTGGACAGAGAGAGAAACACCCTTACAAACAGAGATTTCCTTTGTAACTGTAAATTTCCTTATAACATACTAATTTATACTTTACTTTCAGAGCTTCTCCTTTATCTGGTGTTTCTCAAATTAATCCTTATGTCAGAGAGGCATATTCTGGTCTCCCACAAGAAAGAGTCCATTTAGCTTATGTTGGATCTCATTAATATTGTTCGGCTCAGCAGAGGAGATTGAGAACTTTAATGGACAACGCCATCAATAACACACACAAAAAGGGGGAAGGGTAGTTCCCTAAGGGAAATGGTTAGTTCCCTATCCAAATAGGGGAAGTGGATGTCAGAAATCTATGCAAAAACACAAGGCTATTTTGCTATGTTGCTCTGAAATAAATAGCCTGCCAGATTTTTCTCCAGCAAAGATGGGTTTGTTTGAGATCCACAAAGAATTGCAATTCAGGGCCTGCAACTAAGCAGATAGGGAAATCTGTAAAAGATTTTGCAGCAAAGGCAGAGGGACAAAGTAAAAAAGCTGCTTTCTTTCTCAAAAGAGGAAAAGAAAGGAAAGTGCTCCATCAGGAAGAAGGGAAGGAAAATACTCAAGTGGTGAGCTGTCAGCCAAGTTGGCCAGTAGAGACAGCTAGGGCCCAGGTTGGGCCATGTGGATTTTCATGGGAAGCTTCTGCCATCACAAGGTGTGATTCCATCCAGGTGTGATGGAATCATTCAGCTCTTGTATGGGCTTTTCCAGTGGTTGTGATGGCAATCATCAACTGTCATGGCACTGGTGGATGTGTCATTTAGTGAGCTAATACATTTCAATGAGCATATAATGAGACTCAAGTTCCACTGGAAGTCAAATTCTCTGCCATTTTGGGCTCCCTGGGTTCTAACAAGATCTTGTTTCTTCTCTTTGCAGCTGCCTCCTGAGTCTCAGAAAAGGGAAATTGGTTTCTATTCAAGGGAAGGGCAGGGGTATGGTCTTAGGGGCAACAGCCTTAAAAACAGAAAGGAAAGTTGCTTTTAACCAGAACGCCTACCATCTGGTGGACCCAACATCCCCCCAAAAAGCCATCTCTGAAAATTCTTTTTAGTCACGAAAATTTGAAAAGGAAATGAGTGAGTAATCTCAGTTAATCGTTGAGAAAGTTGGTCAGAGATGTTGCCATCCCCCAATGCCTGCAGGCTTGTCCTTATCAACTGCTTAAGCCTGCTCTTCTGTGACTCAGGGAGGCCTGGGAGACTTTTCTATAAGTAAAAGGCAGGAGTTTGGGGGTTGGGTACAGTGTCCTTCTCAGTATCACAACCGTGGAGAGCCATGCACAAGTCCCTGCACAGCAAGGGAAGGAGAGTGACTGCTTTAATAGAGAGGAAAAGGAAGTTGAGTGGGTTGTACTAAAAGAAGAGTCCATGGTTTTCATTGGCTGAGTCCTTACCAGGAAAGAACGTCTTCCTATCGGGCTCTGCTATGGTCATAGGGTGTAAGAGCTCCCCCTTCTGGTCTTCCAACTCAATTTAAATGACGTTTCTGTTTGTTAATTTTTTACAACTAATTGCATTTAAATTTGTTTTCTTCCAAGCAGACTCATAGACATAGAATACAAACTTGTGGTCGCCAACGGGCCGGGGGGCAGGGGGGCGGTGGGAAGGGACAGACTGGGATTTCAAAATGTAGACTAGATAAACAAGATTATACTGTATAGCACATTGAAATACATACAAGATCTTATCGTAGCTCACAGCATAAAAAAAATGTGACGATGAATATATATATATGTTCATGTATAACTGAAAAATTGTGCTCTACACTGGAATTTGACACAACATTGTAAAATGACTATAACTCCATTAAAAAATGTTAAAAAAATTTACTTTCTTCCTATACACTTTTAACCACCATCTTTTAACTCTTTAATGAAAGCAACTTTTAAAGAGTTTTTTTAATGAGGTATTTCTGAATACTTACTGTAGGAGAGCTGAATAGATCATCCTAAAATATGACTATAAGAACCAGAATATGTGACCCCAAAATATGTCACTACATTTTGAAGTATAGTTTATCAAGTGAGAAAAGTAATCAGTATTTCCCATATGTCAATTGATCATTCATGAAGAATTGATACAGGAAGAAATGGGGTACAGGGCGATGGCTGTGTCCCATGTCTCAGTTGAGTCCCTGGGTTTTACCCCGCTGAGTGAGAGTTCTTGGCTTTGCGAGCCAAGTGAGTCATAGTAGAGTGAAAGCAGATTTCTTCAGAGAGACAGAGTGCAGGCTGTCTCATAAAGCAAGAGAAAGGCCCAGGAGATACACATTGCATAGGCAGAATGGGGCCCATGTTACTCAGAAGGGAGAATGGCCGACTCAGAGCATGGGACTGGCTCGGAAAAATGAGATAGGTCACAAGGTGTAGGGGTTGTTAGTTTTTCTGGGCTCAGTAACTTCATATGCTAACAAGTGGGAGGATTATTCCAACTACTTTGGGGAAGGGGCTGGGAGTCCCAAGAACTGGGCCACCACCCACTTTTTGACCTTTTATGCTCAGCCTTGAAACTATCATGGCACCTGTGGGAGTTCCATTTAGCAGCTATTGTATTTCAACTGAAGGAGAATTAATAAAATGGCCGCACTTAGGCTAACAGATTGCTTATTCTTATGCTTGCCCTTAAAATGGTCAACTGACCAGTTGGTACTCACAGTCCTAGGCCCATTGTTAAAACTAAAGCTATTGATCTTACTGTTTCTACTTTATTCCAGTAATTGAAAATAATAATCAGCTTGATCTCTGAGTCCTTCTCCAAGGAAAGGTCACAGGACTGTAACCTTACAAAATAGCCTGAATTACAAAAAAGACCACACCTTGAGTGCTTACGATATAAAGAGATCTAACCACTGGCCTCTAGAGAATTGGTCACCTGGAGGCATCATGTTCCCGTTCTAAGTCTTCTGTTGAGAAAATGATTCTGTTGATTGTTATCAGTGCTTTATTGTTTGAGCTATGGCTGTATAACCACCCTACCCCATCTCCAAAGTGGGTTCACAGTTTTGAAGGCACTAGCCTGCTGTGAGTCCCCTTTGCCCAGCAAAGCGATAAAATTGCCTCTTTTCTTCCAAGCTCCAAGACCTTGTCTCTGGGTTATTTGGCTTGTCAGGAATGGGGGCCGATCTTTCAGCAACACAATGACCATATATTGAAGCTCAAGGTCTACTGGGAATTAAATCTTCCACCATCTTGGTGCTAATTGTTCTGTCATTGTTTTAATGATTGTGCCCTGCCCACATTCCTCCTGTCTAAGAACTACTGGTTTAACACTAATCTCTTGTGAGTTTGGTTGGTATAGGTCATCATCTCCCAGGTATCTGCTCATCCCCTGGTGCACTGAAATACTGCAAAGCTGAGGAGATGCCTTTGGAACATGATGACCAACCTACATTCACTGCTACTTGTTGAGGTCAGTGTTCTAGGAAGGTGTTTTGGGGTAGGAAAATTTTTCCCTTTTCCCCTTCTAGGTTATTTGGCTGGTCTAATAATTAAACTGATATGACAGATTGACAGGGCAGAAACAAACAGAAGTTTAATACCATGTATAATACATGGCAGAGACCCAGGAAAACTGAGTAACTCACTACAATGGCAGCGAATGCCATCACCTTAAATATGGTCCTGAGCTAAAAGGAGATGTTGGGGGTGGGGAATCAATGGGAGGTGACCAGGAAAAGCACAGCACACAAGGATAAATTTGTTTTGCTGATTGATCATGGTCTTCTCCACCTTTAAGTTTCCAGAGAAGGTATCATCCTCCTCTTCCTAGTACATAGGAAGACACCCTTACAAATGGAGATTCCTCTTTCACATGTAAATGTCTCTTGCAAAAGGGTAACTTCTATTTGGTTTTCAGAGCTCCTCCAATACGAGTTGTTTCTTTAAAAAATAAACAGCCTAAAATAATCCTTATGCTGAAGAGACACATTTTGGGATGGAAAATCCTGCTCCCTTCCAGTTTGCAGTCACCTAATTTAAAATGTTGATAGCTTTTAGACAGGAAGGAAGGGCAGGGCATGGCCGTTAAAGAAATGACACAGCAGTTAGCACCAAGATGGCAGAAAAGTCAACTCCCAATAGACTTTGAGGACCAAGAAGATGGGAGACTTGACTTCCAGTAGAACCTGAGCTTCATTATATGCTCAGCATGGTAAGTGGCACCAGGAGAGTTCCGAGGCTAACCAGGAAAGGTCAAAGAGAGGGCAGTGGCCCAATTCTTGGGAATCCCTGCCCCTTCCCCAAAGTAGTTGGAATAATCTTCCCACTTGTTAGCATCTTAAATAACCGAGTACATAAAAACTAGCAACACTCTCCCTTCCTTGCCTTCTGAGATGGCCAGCATTCTGTCCATGGAGTGGGTATTTCTCTGAATAAATCTACCTTTACTCAGATAAGGCTTGCTCTAGAACTCTTTCCTGTGTGAAGCCAAGGATCCTCACTTGGCAGGGTGCATCCCAGGGAATCAATGGAGACCTGGGACACCACATCCTCTCATGTCCCGTTTTCCAATATCACTTTGGTCAGCTTCCTAATTGTTTCAGGGCTGAAGTCATTCAATAATGTGGGAGACTGAAGAACACAAGGTCCTTTAATGTTCAGTGTTTCTCCTCTACATAACTTATCCAAGGCAAAATTATATGATGTGAACATTTCCCCTACTCTGTGTCTCTATCCCCAAGTTAGCAAACAGGATTTCGTGGTTCCTAGTTACTTGTGTTCTCAACATTTCTTTCTCCAATTTGCTTACTCTTCCTTCCAACAAAATTTAAATCTTAAGCCCCATTGTTAAGGAGAATTTTATTTAAAAATCCTCTAACCCTACCCTTTATCTCTGCTGAGTGAAAATGGTTATTATCAGATAAACTCATTGTGCTCATATCTTCTACCTAATACATTATTCATCAGAAAACATAATGTCTTAACCCACCTTTATTTATATATATATATAATTTTTTAAAGAATCGTGTTATGCTTCGTGGATAAAACTGAGAACTTAAGCCCAGAAGACAGCTTCTCAGAGAGCCCTGAGGGACTGCTCCAAAGAGGTAAAGGAGGAGCCAGATAATACGGGAGTTTTGTAGCAAAAACCAGGTAGTCAGAACATCAAAAGATTACTGTTAATTAAAGAGAACAAAACATCTCAAGTTAATAAATTTAGTGCTTTTCTATGTATGGGAAGATGCAAGAGATTGGGCTGATTGAAATCAGTCCTTTGATAAGCACCTTAACTGTCTAGGGCCAGTATCCTGCTTTTATCCATCCTGAATCCCCTCAGGGGGCACCTTTGGTGGTGGCCTCAGTGGCTGATGGCTTGTTGGCATCACAATCATTGTTACTGATTTGGCAGGCAATATTTTTCATCCACAGTGCCTCCCCTTGGTCATAAACTTGCCCAAAGTTTGGGAGGTTCTCCATGACCAAATTTGCCCCTCAGTACTTGGAAGGCTCATTCGTAGACCAGGTAAACATCCTGTTAATAGAACACTCACTTTGCTGATCTTTTTTGATTAGACCCTGTTGATAATCTAAAAAATCTCTAGATCACCTCCTTTACTAGTCTATTATGATCCAGGAACTGTTTTCTCCTGTTGATTCTTCCCATAACTAGAGTCGAACTAGTATAATTATTCTTTTGTATGTGTGTGTATCGGGGGGAGGTAAGTTTATTTACTTATTTACATTTTTTGCAGGAAATACTGGGGATTGAACTCAGAACCTCAAGCATGGTAAGCATGTGCTCTACCATTTTGCACTAAACCCTCCTCCACTACAATTAATTACTCTATGTAGAGTTATAAATGTGATCTATTGCATCTTAGAGACATTCTTAATGAATATCAGAGAGGAGATGATTGATAGGCACTTGCCATGTTTGTTTTGTCAAAATCAAAATTGAAATACCAAGTCAAAGGTTGAGAAAGGAAGAAAATCAGTGTTGAGTGAGCACCTGCTATGACTCAGGAACATGCCACATATTTTATACTTAGTCAGCTCTGCCCACACCCACCAGTCTGGATGGAATTCAGTCACTGCAATCAACCCTTAGGTCACAACTTTTCCCCAGTTTAGCACATAAACAGTCATACTTTCATCAGACACATAAGTCTATCACACATCTTTGACACACGCATATAACACACCTTAAGTCTACACGCAGCACATCCAAGCATAAACTCTATCACACACAACGTAACACCTTCACTAATCACACAGCACATACTCTGCACACATAACATAGAAATTTCCAC